CCTCCCACTCTTCAGGCCAGCCACCAAAACACCTACTTGAATTAGTTGTAGTGGGACGATCTACTCTCAGTGTGGGCTTCACTGTTTCAAGCTTGGATCATCAAAAAATATAAGTTCATGTCTGCCGCGCCGCCCTGTTCTTGTTTCTTGACCTCAACAAGTCCCTCACTCAACTATGTGTCTTTCTAAATTTTAAATTGTTCCCCAAGATTTTCTGCCTCAAAGCCATTGACAAAAACATCTTAACCTATCCGTAAGCAATTATTTAAAGGTTTGTTTCAGTTATGATGTACACCGAAGCCCATGAACGTATCTCTCCCAACACTAAGACTAAAAGAATTTGAGCTAACCTAGTTTCTTTGTTTTCCTTAATCATTAACCTAAGCCACAGTCCATATGGCTCCTCAAGAGAAACTCATAAATCCTAATTCTTGTCTATGTTTAGCCACAGGGCCTGGTACCTTTTCTCAGTAAGGCATTCTCATCTTGTTTTCTCTGCTTCTGACTGGTGACTGCATCTCTGCCTTTCCTCTTCCCAGAATTCTCCTACTCTGGTTGCCCCAATTATACTTCCTGCCTGGCTACTGTCCAATCAGCATTTTATTAAACGATTATGAGTGACAAATCTTTACAGTGTACAAGAGTATTATCCCACAGCAGGTTAAGTTAGGTTACATAATGAGTTTAATGTAAACCATGTTGTATATAGTGAGATCTTTCTTTAAAATGAAAAAAAAAAAAAGGAGTACGCAGAATGTCATGGAATCCTCAGCTGTAACAGCTAATTGGGCCCTGAGCAATAAATCTTCTTTCCTAGGTCAGGACAGCTGATCTCTTTTAATTGTAGAAATCCAAAATGTCTGACTGAATCCCATGCAAAGATATTGGATAAATAAAAATATTTCAAGCATCTCACATTTCACTAGACTCTGTATTAAATAAAAATATACTCTGTTAAGGAAATTTATCACTTTAAGTGCCTACATTTAAAACAACCAGAAAGCACAAACAAATGAATTGCTTAATGATTCAAGTCGAAACCTTGGAAAAACAAGAACAAATGAAACCCACTAGATAGCAATAAATAATAAGTATCAGAGCCAAACTCAATAGAAATAAAGAGAAAAACAACCACAAATCTAAGAGCTGATTCTTTGAGATGATAAACAAGATTGATAGACTCTTGTCCCAGCTAACCAAAGAGAGGATAGCCCAAATGAACAGAATCAGAAATAAACAGCGAGACATAACAACAGATACCAATGGAATTCAAAATATTGTAAGAAAACACTGTGTTGCTTTTTTTGTTTGTTTTTGAGACAGGGTTTCTCTGCGTAGCTTTGGCTATTCTGAAACTCACTCTGTAGACCAGGCTAGCCTCAAACTCAGAGATTTCCGTTTTCATCTCTCAAGTGCTGAAATTAAAGGTGTGCACCACCACCATTCAAGTAAGAAAATACTGTGAAAACCTATACTCCATTAAACTATAAAACCTAAAAGAAATGGACAGGTTTCTAGGTTTAGCCAAACAACAAAATTAGATAAAGAAGAAAGTGACATCCCAGAGAGAACCCTAGCAATAAAGACACTGAGATGGAAAGGGGTAAACCAGCAAATAAAGACATTGAGATGGAAAGGGGCAAACCTATATTTTTTGCTGTGTTTTTGCAGTAGACAATTTATAATTTTCTTACTACATAAACTAAGTGACGATTAGCTAACTCATCTAATAAACAATACAGTCAACAGTAGCTAGCCTGCACCGTTCTGCCACTAGTCCACCATTTTCAGCTGCATGTAAAGGGTGGGATGGAGCTGTGTACCAATCATTATAAAGATTTAACAGCTGAAGTAGCCATGTTTTTAAGGTGTGAAACCCATTTCACACACAGTGAAGGTAGTCTGTCATGGAGCTTGAATTGAGGCCTATGTGGATCCTCATTGGCCAAGGGTACCTACTATAAAGAATGATCGACATGTATATGGATTGGTCCTTCAACTGAGGCCTTGCAAGACTAAGCTACCTGTGCCATGGCTTGTGGGTGCAGAAGCTAGGTCAATGGCTAACAGCTGTATTAGCCATAGCTTAAAGTGAAATAGGATAGTGATGAAGTCCCTCATGGTCCTAAGGCGTACGTTTAAAACTAGCCTCTTGGTTGGCCTGTGTCTAGCACCTATGTCCTTGATGATTATTTCTTTAAATCTAGTCTAGACTTTTAAAAAATAAATTCCTAAAGCAAAACAAGCAAACAAAAACAAATAATTGGCCCATTTTTAAAAATGACCTTTTGAGAGCCTGCTAGGACGCTGGGACGGAACCGGGAAGACAAAGGGGTGGCCGGTAGCTCCTTTGTTCCCATAGCCTGCCCGCAGCGAGCAGGGTGGGCCCTTTGTTCGCGAGCTAACCAGGCAGCGCGGAGTTTCGATCTGGGCACCGAGTGAAACATCATTGTGGTGAGTGAGTGCTGCGGCAGCTGGGAACATACCTCAGCCCGCCCACACTTCCAGGCCATCCTACAGGGGCTATACTGCCCAAACAGCCTCTCTATTCCTATCCCATTCAGCTTACATCCAGATCCCCACACCCCCTGTCTCCCTCCCTCTCTCCCTCCTTTGGGGCATAGCGCCTCCCTGCCCAGCCTGCGAGGACGCTGGGACCGAATCCGAACCGGGAGGACAAAGGGGTGGCCGGTAGCTCCTTTGTTCCCATAGCCTGCCTGCAGCGAGCAGGGTGGGCCCTTTGTTCGCGAGCTAACCAGGCAGCGCGGAGTTTCGATCTGGGCACCGAGTGAAACATCATTGTGGAGAAACATCTCTGGGGAGTGACATCACTGGGAAGGTACATCAGTGGGCAAGAAGACCTGATCCTGTAAAAGAAGATCCAAAGGGGAGTATTGGGAGGAAGAGATGGGCAGACGCCAATGCAGGAATTCTCCCAACAATCTGAAAAACAACACGAAACCACCAGAAGCCAGTGACACCACAACAGGAGGACATGAACACCTTAATCAAGAAGAAGTAGAAAAAACTGACTTCATGAAAGTGATTGACACCCTTAAACAGCATATAAAAAAACGCCCTTATGGAAACGGATGAGAAGTATAATAGAAAGTTCGAGGAATTGAGTAAATCAGTGAATGATACCCTAGGAAACCAAGGAAAAACAATCAAGCAGATAAAGGAAACAGTTCATGACTTGAAAACTGAAATGGAGGCAAAGAAGAAAACACAAACAGAGGGCCGGCTGGACATGGAAAATCTAGGTAAACGAATAGAGACTACAGAATCAAGTATAACCAGCAGAATACAAGAGATAGAAGAAAGAATCTCAGATTCTGAGGATAACATAGAGAAAATAAACACTCTGATCAAAGAAAACAGCAAGTCCAACAAACTCTCATCACAACACATTCAGGAAATATGGGACACAATAAAAAGACCAAACCTAAGAATAATTGGAGTAGAAGAAGGAGAAGAAGTGCAGCTCAACGGTACAGAAAATATACTTAATAAAATTATAGAAGAAAACTTTCCCAAACTGAAGACAGATGTACCTATGAAGGTTCAAGAAGCATACAGAACACCAAATAGGCTGGATCAAAAGAAAACATCCCCTCGCCATATAATAATTAAAACACAAAATATACAGAATAAAGAAAGAATATTAAGAGCCGCAAAGGAAAAAGGCCAAGTTACTTATAAAGGTAAACCTATCAGACTTACACCTGACTTCTCTATGGAAACCATGAAAGCCAGAAGGTCCTGGATAGATGTTCTCCAAAAACTAAGAGACCATGGATGCAAGCCCAGACTACTATATCCAGCCAAACTTTCATTCACTATAAGTGGAGAAAACAAAATTTTCCAGGATAAAAACAAATTTAAACAATACGTAGCCACAAATCCAGCCTTACAGAAAATAATAGAAGGAAAATCACTAACCAAGGAGTCCAACAATGACCACAATAACTCAGACATCTAGAGACTCTTCACCAGCGCAAATCAAAGAAGGAAAACACACAAACCCTACTACTAAAAAAGTGACCGGAGTTAACAACCACTGGTCATTAATATCACTTAATATCAATGGACTCAACTCACCTATAAAAAGGCACAGGCTAAGAGATTGGATAAGAAAACAGGATCCAACGTTCTGCTGTCTACAAGAAACACACCTTAACCACAAAGACAGGCACCTACTCAGAGTAAAGGGCTGGGAAAAGGCTTATCAAGCAAATGGACCTAAGAAACAAGCAGGTGTGGCCATACTAATTTCTAACAAAGTTGACTTCAAACTTAAATCAATCAGAAGAGATGGAGAGGGACATTTTATACTCATAACAGGAACAATTCATCAGGAAGAAGTCTCAATCCTGAATATCTATGCCCCTAATATAAAAGCACCCACGTACGTAAAAGAAACATTACTAAAACTCAAGGCAGACATCAAACCGCACACACTAATAGTAGGAGACTTCAACACTCCTCTCTCACCAATGGACAGGTCAATCAGACAGAAACCTAACAGAGAAATTAGAGAATTAATGGAGGTAATGAAGCAAATGGACTTAACAGACATCTATAGATTATTCCACCCAAAGAGGAAAGAATATACCTTCTTCTCTGCAGCTCATGGAACCTTCTCGAAAATTGACCATATACTTGGTAACAAAGCTAACTTACACAGTTACAAAAAAATATTAGTAACCACCTGTGTCTTATCAGATCACCATGGGTTAAAGTTAGAATTCAACAACAATGCTACCCCCAGAAAGCCTACAAACTCATGGAAACTGAACAGTCAACTACTGAACCATACCTGGATTAAGGAAGAAATAAAGAAAGAAATTAAAGTCTTCCTTGAATTCAATGAAAATAAAGAAACAACATACTCGAACTTATGGGACACTATTAAAGCAGACCTGAGAGGAAAGTTCATAGCACTAAGTGCCCACCTAAAGAAAACAGAGAAAGCACATACTGGAGACTTAACAGCCCACTTGAAAGCTCTAGAAAAAAAAGAAGCAGACTCACCTAGGAGGAGTAGAAGACTGGAAATAATCAAATTGAGGGCTGAAATCAACAAAATAGAAAAACAGAAAACAATCCAAAGAATCAATGAAACAAAAAGCTGGTTCCTGGAGAAAATCAACAAGATTGATAAACCCCTATCCAAACTAATCAAACGACAGAGAGAGAATACGCAAATTAATAAGATCAGAAATGAAAAGGGGGACATAACCACAGACACAGAGGAAATTCAGAGAGTCATTAGATCTTACTACAAAAGCCTGTATGCCACAAAACTGGAAAATGTAAAAGAAATGGACGCTTTTTTAGATAAATACCATTTACCAAACTAAACCAGGACCAGGTGAACAATCTAAACAGACCTGTTGGTCGCGAAGAATTAGAAGCTGTTATCAAAAACCTCCCTACCAAAAAAAGCCCAGGACCAGATGGTTTCAATGCAGAATTCTACCAGAACTTCCAAGAAGACCTAATACCCATACTCCTTAATGTATTCCACAATATAGAAACAGAAGGGTCATTACCAAATTCCTTTTATGAAGCCACAATTACTCTGATACCAAAACCACTCAAAGACTCTACCAGGAAAGAGAACTACAGGCCAATCTCACTCATGAATATCGACGCAAAAATCCTCAACAAAATACTGGCAAATCAAATCCAAGAACACATCCGAAAAATTATCCATTATGATCAAGTAGGCTTCATTCCTCAGATGCAGGGCTGGTTCAACATACGAAAATCTATCAATGTAATCCAGCATATAAATAAACTGAAAGAAAAAAACCATATGATCATTTCATTAGATGCTGAAAAAGCATTTGACAAAATTCAACATCCATTTATGTTAAAAGTCTTGGAGAGATTAGGGATACAAGGGTCATACCTAAATATAATAAAAGCTATATACAGCAAGCCGACAGCTAACATCAAATTAAACGGAGAGAAACTCAAAGCCATCCCACTTAACTCAGGAACACGGCAAGGCTGTCCACTCTCTCCATACCTCTTCAATATAGTGCTTGAAGTTCTAGCAATAGCAATAAGACAACATAATGGGATCAAGGGGATTCGAATTGGAAAGGAAGAAGTTAAACTTTCGTTATTTGCAGATGATATGATAGTGTACATAAGCGACCCCCAAAACTCCACCAAAGAACTTATACAGCTGATAAACAGCTTTAGTAATGTGGCAGGATACAAGATCAACTCCAAAAAATCAGTGGCCCTCTTATACACAAAGGATATGGAAGCAGAGAGCGAAATCAGAGAAGCTTCACCATTCACGATAGCCACAAACAGCATAAAATATCTTGGGGTAAATCTAACCAAGGAAGTGAAAGATCTATTTGACAAGAACTTTAAGGCATTGAAGAAAGAAATTGAAGAGGATACCAAAAAATGGATGGACCTCCCTTGCTCTTGGATTGGGAGGATCAACATAGTAAAAATGGCAATTCTGCCTAAGGCAATTTATAGATTCAATGCAATCCCCATCAAGATCCCATCAAAATTCTTCACAGATCTGGAGAAGACAATAATCAACTTTATATGGAAAAACAAAAAACACAGGATAGCCAAAACAATCCTATACAATAAAGGATCTTCTGGAGGCATTACCATCCCTGACTTCAAACTCTATTACAGAGCTACAGTAATGAAAACAGTGTGGTACTGGCATAAAAACAGAGAAGTCGACCAATGGAATCGTATAGAAGACCCGGATTTTATCCCACAAACCTATGAACACCTCATTTTCGATAAAGGAGCTAAAAGTATACAATGGAAGAAAGAAAGCATCTTCAACAAATGGTGCTGGCACAACTGGATGTCAACCTGTAGAAGAATGAAAATAGACCCATATCTCTCACCGTGCACAAAACTCAAGTCCAAATGGATTAAAGACCTCAATATCAGCCCGAACACACTGAACCTGATAGAAGAGAAAGTGGGAAATACCCTACAACAGATAAGCACAGGAGATCGCTTCCTATGTATAACCCCAGAAGCACAGACATTAAGGGCAACATTGAATAAATGGGACCTACTTAAACTGAGAAGCTTCTGTAAAGCAAAGGACATGGTCACTAAGACACAAACGCAACCTACTGACTGGGAGAAGATTTTCACCAACCCCACAACAGACAAAGGTCTGATCTCCAAAATATATAGAGAACTCAAGAAACTAGACTTTAAAATGCTAATTAACCCAATTAAAAAATGGGGCACTGAACTGAACAGAGAATTCTCAACAGAAGAAGTTCAAATGGCCAAAAGACACTTAAGGTCGTGTTCAACTTCCTTAGCAATCAGGGAAATGCAAATCAAAACAACTTTGAGATATCATCTTACACCTGTCAGAATGGCTAAAGTCAAAAACACCAAGGATAACCTTTGCTGGAGAGGCTGTGGAGGAACGGGTACCCTCATCCATTGCTGGTGGGAATGCAATCTTGTGCAACCACTGTGGAAGTCAGTGTTCGGTTTCTCAGGAAATTCTGGATCAACTTACCCCTGGACCCAGCAATACCACTCTTGGGAATATACCCAAGGGATGCTTTATCAAATGACAAAAGCATTTGTTCAACTATGTTCATAGCAGTATTATTTGTAATAGCCAGAACCTGGAAACAACCTAGATGCCCTTCAATGGAAGAATGGATGAAGAAAGTATGGAATATATACACGCTAGAGTACTACGCTGCGGTAAAAAACAATGACTTCTCGAATTTTGCATGCAAATGGATGGAAATAGAAAACACTATCCTGAGTGAGGTGTCCCAGACCCAAAAAGATGAATATGGGATGTACTCACTCATAATTGGTTTCTAGCCATAAATAAGGACCACGGAGTCTACAAGAGGTGAACCTAAAGAAGCTAAGTAAGAAGGTGAACCCAAGGAAAAACATATAGTTGTCCTCTTGGCTAAGGGAAGTAGACCAAATTTCCGGGGAGAAAATGGGATCTTGGGGATGGGGTGGGATGGGGGTAAAGGGAGATGGGGAGAGAAAAGGTAGAAGGGAAAGAGGGGGGACCTGGGAAACATGAGAATTGGGATAAAGGAAAGGTGGATAGGGGAGCACGGAACCACAATTCTTAGTTAAGGGAGCCAGTTTAGGGTGGGCAAGAGACTTGACCCTAGAGGGGCTCCCTAGTGCCCAAGATGAGGTTCCCAGTTAGTTCCTTGGGCAGCTGAGGATTGGGAACGTGAAATGACCCTATCCTAGAGCAATACTGACGAATATCTTGCATATCATCATAGAATCTTCATCTGGTGATGGATAGAGATAGAAACAGAGACCCACACAGGAGCACTGGACTGAGCTCCCAAGGTCCCAAGGAGGAGCAGAAGGAGGGAGAACATGAGCAAAGAATTCGGGACCACGAGGCGTGCATCCACCCACTGAGACAGTGGAGCTGATCTACGGGGAGCTCACCAAGGCCAGCTGGACTGTGACCGAAAAAGCATGGGATAAAACTGGACTCTCTGAACATGGCGAACAATGAGGGCTGATGAGACACCAAGGACAATGGCAGCGGGTTTTGATCCTACTTAATGTGCTGGCTTTGTGGGAGCCTAGCCAGTTTGGATGTTCACCTTCCTAGATATGGACGGAGGGGGGAGGACCTAGGACTTACCACAGGGCAGGGAACCCGGACTGCTCTGTGGACTGGAGAGGGAGGGGGGGGAGGAGTGGGGGGAGGGGGAGAAGGGTGGGAGGAGGGGGAGAAGGGTGGGAGGAGGGGAAGGGAAATGGGAGGCTGGGAGGAGGTGGAAACTTGTTTTTTGTTTATGTTTTTTTTCTTCTTTTCGCAATAAAAAAAAATTTAAAAAAATGACCTTTTGATAATTCTCTAAAAAAGAATTATCAAAAGAAGAAATAAAGATTGCTAAGAAACATCTCAAAAAGAAAAGTTCATTGTCCCTAGCAAGTCAGGAAATGTGAATTGAAACAGCTTTGAGATTTCATCTTACCCAAGTCAGAATGGCAAAAATCAATAAATCAGTGTGAACAATTCTCAGATAGCTAAAAATAAGTCCATTACATGACCCAGATCTACCATTCTTTGGCACATGCCTGAAGGACTCAACATTCTGCTCCCCAATACTTGGTCTGCCATGCTCGCTGCTGCTCCACTGAGAGTAATAAAAACGGAAACAGCCTAAATGTCATCCAAAAAATGGATGATGAAAATGTAGTATGAACACACCATGGAATATTATTCAGATATAAAGCAAAATAAAAACATGAAAATTTCAGACAGACAGACATACTTTTGAGTGAGGTAATAGATCCAAAGAAACAAATAGTGCACATTCTCTCTCATCTGCTGTTCCGTGCTCCTAGTCTTTAGATGTGACTAAAGTCACCTAGAGTAACTGCAGAAACCAGGGAAGTGCAGGGGGATCACTGTGTGGGAGAGGAGCAGCAGAGAGGACAATGCCAGGGCGCAAATGATTGGAAATGTGAAATGGGGAAAATGTGTGGATCAATTGTGGGGGGAGGTAAATACAGAAGGTGGAGGGCAAAGCAACAGTAAGGATGTCTGAAAAAAGTCATAAGGCATCATATTATTATCTATTTACCTGACATAATAGTATCTCTCTCTCTCTCTGTACAGATATATGGGTTAAATAAAAATATCCCATCTTTTCTGACAATGCTCCCTGTTAGAGCCACAGAACATGTAACAAAACTACCAACATCAGGCATGAGGAGCTCCCTTTGAGTTGTTGGTCAGGGTTGTCCAAGAGACCCTTTAAACATCATTGCTCTTGGTTGTTTTCTACAGGTAGAAACTAAGTCCCTATTGCTGAAGACAACAAGCACCTTGGACACGGAACCCAGAGGATCTGAGCTGGAACTGACAAGAAAGCATCCTCTCTCAGGATTTTCTTAAAATTCAGAGAACAAGAGAGTGTGTGGTGCCCAGTCCCCTTGATATATCTACAGCCCAATTCTGGGCTCAGGGACCGTTGTGGGTGAGAAGGTTTTAAGAGTCAGAGGAGCAGGAACTTTGCTGTGAAACTGTGTCTCCTAGAAATGTGAGAGGAATGGGCTGTGCCTATGAAGTCTCATCAGCATGGCTACCGAAACATGACATGAATAAAAACACCGACAGGCATGCCAACACAGAATGGGGAAAGCTCTTGGAGCCGCAACCTTGACAAGAATCAAGGGCACTGGGGAATACTGAGCTGGAGAAATGGCCTTACCTAGGTCGTCCCCCAACATTCAGTGGTCAGCCCGACGATCATATACACACAGGTAGCATTATATGAACTGAGCAGATTGTATCTGTGTATTCAGTTACACACATGCACACACGCACACACACGCACGCACACACACACACACACACACCAACAATTAAGGAAAATGTCATGAATTTGAAGGAGAGGGGCACATGTGAGAGACTGAAGGGAGGAAAAACAAGGGAGAAATGATAAGATTTTTAAAGTAAAAACAATTATTATAATCTTCCCAATGGATTCAATACAATATCTACAAAAAATCTCAGTTGTCATTTTTTTTTCTTTTTTCTTTTCAGAAATTGGCACATTCATATAGAATGGCCAAGACAACATTGGAAACAACAGGAAGAGCAATGTTGGGAGACTGATGATTTCCGGATACAGAGTAGAGCCATCAACATCGTAAGATACTGACATAAAGATCGGCATTCGAATAAATGAAGTTGAGAAATAAATCTATGTTCTTATGGCAGGCTGGATTATCAACTGCCAAAAAGAATTCAATGAAGAAACCTTTTTTTTTTTTCAACAATATTGCTGGGACAATGGAATGACCATACGAAAATGATCTTAGACTCCCATCAGGACGAAAAGACATAAATCTTCAATGACCTTGGTTAGGCAATGATTTTTGGAATATTATCTAAAGATCAAAGAGGAAAACAAAGCAGATTTTATAAAAATTAATGTTCTTCCATCTTCCTCTTTTTCTTTGCTTCTTTCCTGTTTCTCTCCTCCCCTTTTTCTTTTTCTCTCCCTCCTAAGGTCCCATTCCCTCGCAGGCTAGCCTGGAACTCACTCTGCAGCCTTGGCTGCCTTTGACTTAGTAGCCTCCTGCATTCGCCTTTGGAATGCAGAGATCACAGTTATGTACCACCATATCCAAATCAAAATGTAAAACTCTTATGCTCTAAGGAATACCATCACGGAAAGTGGAAAGATGATGCCTGGAATCCAAAGCACATATACAACCCTATATAGGAAGTCAGATCGCCTGATTTAAAAATGGAAGGCAAATTTGAACAGACATTTCCCCAGTGAAAACAAATGGTCAACAAACACATGAAAAAATGCTCACCATCATTAGTTATTATAGAAAAAGGAATCAGTATTGTTACAATACAGGGAGCTACAGATCCCATAACGGTAGCTACTGTCTATCAGGTATTTATCTGTGTTAGCAGCATAATGATATCGCCATTATTACCATTTCAACTTTATTTCCACATGAGGAAACTAAAGAATTTATTTCAAGTTTGTTAGGCTAAATCATGCAATTTAAATTCAAAATTTAGTGAGCATTTTATACAGGAACAAGATCTACTCAGAATTTAAAGAAAAAATAGAAACTCTTCTTCAATTCATGAACAATATTAAGGTATTATTGATGAGAAATTCAGAAGTGATCATAACATGGGAGATTTTCAAAGTCTAACTTTAATTCTTAGGTATTTCCTCCACAATTAATAATATATTACAAGACTATAACTTCCCTTTATTAGTTCAAATGTGTCACTTACCTCATGAGACTTTCATTCTTCTTCTCCTTTGAAAAGGGCACCCTTGCAGAACCAATGAACACTTCCAAAAGCTGGCTGGCTGCAGAGTTCATGAGCTGGCAAATGAGTTCTTGAAACAGGTAATCAATCAGCCTTAAAAACTTCAAATTTGTTTCTAATAAAAACCGATACTGCGGCAGTTTATAATGCATTGTGCCAATTTCAGATGGTTTTGACTCAAAGTATTCTTTGATATCTTTCTTTTCTGCAACCTATAATTTATAAAGCAGTTGGGAAACATGGCATTTCCCTAGGTTAATGCGGGTGATCTGCTGTTTATAGTATTCTAATCAGTCTGGACAGTATATAAAACTAAATTTTATCATCAACTTTCATCAATATTTGACATCATGTTTACACTACATTCAAACATCTGTCAAGAAGAGAGAGTCCTTGTGTGTTCTGGAGCCAGTCAAGTTCAGAGTCTCAGAGGCAGGTCCATCTGGAAGTCAGATGGGAATGGACAGGCAGGTGAGTGGCTCTAACGGTACACACAGGGTAAGAAAGCCTAGTGGACAGTGTTCACTGCATTATTGAGGTCTCTTTATAAAACCCTCAGTGATGTTTCACTTCCTCTAGATGCTGCTTCTGAGCAAGGGTGTTTTCTTTATCTTAGGAACACTAAGAACTTTGTCACTAATCAGGGTCTCTTGATATGTCACCTCAGGCTAGATAGGAGCTTGATTACATAGAAATAGCTATAGTTCATACTCTCATACATGTACAAATACATGTGTCATTGCTTTCTGCATCATGCCCCCAAAGGTTCTTAGACACAGTAAATGTGATACCAGTTGACTGGTTAGTTAACTGCCCATTTCCAGTACTTTTTTCAGGAATGCAATGTGGGATGCTCATTCAGCACACAGTGACAGGACAGATAAATTCACAGAATTACCTTTAAGACTGTGCTTTTTATCTCCGCAATTGCCTTAGTCCTGATCTCCTTGAGTTGTACTAGTGCCTGGGTGGCTTGCTGTATCTGCTCTTCACAAAACTTGTCCAGAGCATAAGTGCGGGAGGTGTCCAGCTAATGGAACGGCAGTAAGTGGTGCATGGTTGAAAGAGAAAAGTCACTTACCAAGAGCAAGAGACAAGGCATAAGATCACCTTCCCATGGCATACTGAAGAGCATCGCTTATCAGCTCTTCTTTAATACTTTGTGCTTTACATACCCTGGCTTAAATGTTCTTCCATTGTAAATACTCATAGTTGAATGCAATTAAATCTTTTTGTTTTTATTTTTTGAGTCAGGGTCTCACTGTGTAGTTTTGGCTGGCCTAGAACTCACTCTATAGACCAGGCTGGCCTGAAATTCACGGAGAGCTGCCTGCCTCTGCCACTCAAGAGCTGGGATTAGAGCCATGGACCACATTATGTCCATCATAACTAAATCTTAATAAAAACAGCATTATTTTAAACCATAGCTAAAATTTCTGGAACAGAAACCTTAAAAATTTTATTTTCTTAAAATTCAGAAAGTTAAAGTATTGTCTATGAAATGAGGAAAGCACACTAATTCCACATTTACTTATTGCTTTCTGAATACCAATTATCTGTTAACTCAAAAGCACTGAACATGAAACCCAGGATAGAGCTGGGCTAGAGAAGAGGCTCATTTGGTAAAGTTCCTGCTGCGAAAGCGTGAGGATCTGGGTTCAGGGCCCCAGCACACACACAAAGCTGGTGTGGTGCTTATCTGTAACTGTCGTTCTGGGGAGGCACAGATAGAGCAGTAAGTCCCTGGAATTTTCTGGCCAGCCAGTCTAGCCCATCACTGAATGCTGACTTCAGTGAAAAACGCTGTCTCAAAACCTAAGGGGACCAATAGAAGACCCCAGACACGCATCTTTGGCTCCACACACATGCATGACCATGTGTTGTAGGGTGTTTGATGACACTGTGAACCCTGAGATTGTGTTATTTACTGGAAAACCTGTTTCTAGTTATGGTGTGGTCCAGCTCTAGTACACACCTTTAATCCATGAGCTTTCTACTTATTGTGAACAGGATTGAATACAGTCCACCATAGTTCAAGAGGAGGAACAGTAACCAACTGACAGGAAGTAGACAAGAAAAAGCTATAGGGAGTGAGGAGGACGGAGAGAGAGGTACACAGGAAGTGGAAGAGAAGAACACTGAGTTTGATGAGTTTTGTTTAAGATGGAGGAAAAGAAAAGAAAAGCTTCTGGAATGTTAGTGGAGGAGGAAGGTCAGCAAGTGGGTGCTTGCTCTGCCTCTCTGAGCTAGCAGGCTTTCACCCCAGCATCTGGCTTCTGTGTCTTTATTAGTAAAATTAAATGGTTGAGATTTTGCATGTGCGTGCGCACACACACACACATACAGAATAATACAAACACACACAAGCTAAAATTAAATAACTGCTATATATTATTGGGAATCCCACAGGGACTAATTTCCAGCAACTACACAATTAGTTGGGTTTTTTTTTTGTAATACAGAATGGCAAAATCCATTCAAGCATGTGCTCCCACTCCTTCTTTCAACATTTTCTTATTTTTCTGTGCCATGTTAATTCTCTTGTCACAAAACATTTCAGCAAGAGCCGGGCGGTGGTGGCGCACGCCTTTAATCCCAGCACTTGGGAGGCAGAGGCCAGCGGATCTCTGTTAGTTCGAGCCCAACCTGATCTACCAGAGATAGTTCCAGGACAGGCTCCAAAGCTACAGAGAAACCCTGTCTTGAAAACAAAAAATGAAAAAACAAAAACAAAAAAACCAAAAAAAGAAATTTCATCAATAAATATGCAGACCTCTTTATCCCTAGGTGTTGTGGAATATTAGTTTAATATGTGTTATAGTCATTTCTTCTGTGGAACACTTGTTTAGTAATACAAAGATGTGATGCATTTCTTTAATTCTGTAGAGCTGTGTTACTTTGCCTGTCTAAAACACCTAATTGGTCTCATAAAGAACTGAATGGCCAATGGCTGGGCAGGAAAAAGGATATATGGGGTTGGCAGACAGAATAAACAGAAGAAATCTAGGCTACAGCAGGGAAAAAGAGGGAGGAGCAAGAAAAGGAGAAGAGGAGGACTCAAGGGGGCAGCCAGCCAGTCACACAAGCAGTCTAGGAGTAAAAAAAAAAGGGGGGGAAGACAGACATATAGAATAAAGAAGGGTAAAAAGCCCAGAGACAAAACATAGAATAAGAGAAATGGGTGAATTTAAGTTAGAAAAATTGTCTAGAATTAAGCCAAGCTAAGGCTGGGCATTCATAAATAAGAACTAGGTGGCTCCCAAAGAGTAAAATAAATCAGCTACACCTATATGTCATCATTTCAAATAAAGAAGCCTGGGATCCAGCTGTACTATTTTGAATTGACTCATTTTCTCCTCTTTGTCCCTTGTCTGATTATTAGATTCTATTTTTCAAGTAAAATAGCTCAAAAACTCCTCCTCATTCATGGTTTCACTGCCAATATTATTTTATGCTTGTGTTAATTAATAACATACTAATTTATTTGTTAACCCCATTATTTCTGCACTGCTGATTTCTTTTCAAACCAGGAATGTCTCTAAACAAGCACACTCAGAGACTCTCAATCATTGCTCGCTTTAGCAACAGTCCCCAATGTACTTGGCACCAGGGTAACTGAGACACTAGTCAACAATGCAGACAATCTACTCTGTCGCACTCGTCCCGTAGACAAGATATAATACCTGACTGCTTATCAAGCACCCAAAATGCCTTTCAAAAAACCCAGACTCCACTCTTAAATGCTAAATACAATCCAAAATCTCTGCCTTATTCTGTCAACATGGACAAAGCTTGTTCTCTCTCAGTTCTGTCATCTTGATGCTCTGAGAGAAAGCTGATAGACCTGAAGTCTCCAGGGAACCCTAATAGCCTGTCTGTCATTGTCAGCACTGCTGCCCACGGTGTCTTAGGCACAGACTTACAGATTTTCCAAACTGCTTAGCTTTCCTAATTTTTATTAGTTTTCCTAATTTCCCTTTCCTTTCTTTCCCTCTTTTTCCTCTCCTCTTTTTCACCTCATTCCCTTCCCTTCCCTTCCCTCCCCTCCCCTCCCCTCTCCTCCCCTTCCCTTTTCTTTCCCCTTCTATCTCCTTCCCTTCCCTTTTCTTTCCCCTTCCCTCTCCTTCCCTTTCCTTTTCTTTCCCCTTCCTCTCCTTCTCTCTTCTTCCTCTTCCTTCTCTTTCTTCTTCATTCCTTTTTGAGACAAGTCTCACTATGTAACTCTTGCTGGTCTTAAACTCATAGAAATCTGTCTGCTTCTGCATCCCAAGCACTAGGATTAAAAGGTGTGCACTCCCATACTTGACTCATTGTTTGAATGTTTTATTATTCAGTTAATCATATAAGACAATCTAAAATTGGCCATTCCTCTTTCACAAAAACCATAGAAAGATGTTTCTCCCTGAATTGTCTCCTGGTTAAATTGAATTTAATACTTTTGAAATAATATTCATCCAGGAGTGGTGGCAAAGGCTCATAATCTTAGCACTGGAAAAGCTAAGGCAGGAGGATTATAAATGAGAGGCCAATCTGGTCTCTACAGCAAGGCCCAGGTCAACTGATGTATTCTGAGAGATCCTGTCTCATAAAACTAAGGGAAAAAAGAAGACAGAAGTTCTAATACTAATATCCTCAATGTAGATATACAAAATACAGCCAAGCAGTGGTGGCACGCACCTTTAATCCCAGTGCTCAGGAGATGGAGGCAGGCAGATCTCCAAGTTCAAGGCTACTTTTGTCTACAGAGTGAGTTCTAGGACAGCCAGAGAAACCCTGTCCCAAACGAACAACAAACAAACAAACAAAAATCCCCCCAAAACAAAGTAAAACAAACAAATAAGTGTTATCCATAGTGATTAATTAATCTTCCTGAATTCTTTCACTACCTCAAAGAATACTGAACAATTAATTACTATATATCATTGATTTTAAACTCATGTGGATTTAAATATTATGTTAGGCGTGGATCTTATTACATCTGTATATTCAACACAAAAACATTTTTGAGGTTATCAAATTCATAACTTGTACAAGTCCCTTTACCATTTCTCTTTCTGAAGGTAGATGACCAGTTCACCCTCCAGGATCTCCCTATGTACTGGGACAATAAAGTAAAATCTGTTGGAATCCTATTTTACTCTATATGAAGCACTTAAGTCTTACAGTTCTGTGTGTTCAATCATTTTTAAAAAAGTCTCGAAAAACCAAAAAAAAAAAAAGCTCTATTATAAATTAAGTCAGGCCACTAGTAAGCTCATTTTTTCTAAAATCCTGAAACAGAAACATACATTCATTCATTTAAACGAACACCAGAGTCTGGAGAGACGACTCAGAGGTTAAGAGCACTGGTTGCTCTTCCAGAGGAACTGAGTTCAATTCCCAGCACCCACATGGTGGCTCACAACCATCTGTAATGAGATCTGGTGCCCTCTTCTGGCCTGCAGGCATACATGCAAGCAGAATACTGTACACGTAATAAACAAATCTTTTTTTAAAAAAGCATTTAAACCAACACCACTGAATTCCATCTTGTGATGAATTCTTGACATTGAAAATATCAAGGGACAAATAGCTACTAACTGCCATGTATTAGAAATGATTAATTACAAATAATTTTGCACTTTAGAGAGACATTTAGCAATAATGCCCTTCAGTCACTTCTGTTGAAATATCAGTCAGCATGTCTAAGAAATGTTGACTCCTACAATTGACTGCCATGCTCTTTAGCACGACTTTATTGCGACAGTCATCCACAGTGATTGGCATACGGGTCGAGAAACTGCTGTCTCTCTTATTCAAACTCCCAGTTCTGCACACCGGTATGGCTGGCAGGGAAGGCTTTCACCCACCTTGATAAGGCGTACGGCGGAGGGGTTGTCTTCATTGTTCTTTTTGAGGTTCAGTGCATCTTCAAAGAGGCCTCTTACATAAAGCAAGCAACTTTGAAATAGCTCGTCAGCACAGAAAAGGTGGCCGTACAAGTACGATCTGAAAGGCAAAATATCCACAGGCTGAGCTCTCCTTCCAGATGAATAAAGCCAGCGGTATGATGCCACTGAGTTCAAGGAAGGTTAATATTTCCAATTGGATTTCCAAGAAGTGATTTTGAAAATGAATTATATGTACCATCAACTTGTTAAATTTATTAAATCTAAATAATTTTTTTCCAAGTAACAAGGGGAATGTTCACTGAATAAGGAGCAACGTGGAGAATAATTCTGAAAAACTACTATCTATAGCCTAAAGTAGAGAAGGGCTTTTCTCTTTCTGTATTGATCGCAAAGTCAAGACAAACTACAGCCAGCAGCGCTGGCAAGCAGGACAGAATGGGAACAGGAGAAAAGGCAGAAAGGGAGAAAGGTGGCTCCTTAAATACTGCATTAGTCAGAGCAGAACTGTTCTGTGAAGAATGGCTCCTCTGGCTTCCATAGTCCTTGTGTGGTAACACAAGAGACATTTCAATAAAGAGGATATACAGATGGCAGATAAGCACAAGAAGAGATAGTCAACATTAGAGGAATGCAAATTACTAATAACACTAAGAAAACACAAATTTAAACATGCTGATACGTTATTACACACCCATCAGAATGTCTGAAATAAAAACTAATGACAACGCCAATAATATCAAGGCTATGAAGAAACGGAATTGATGGTGGGAACGCCAAATAGCTTAGTCATTCTAGAAATTAGCTTGTCAACTACTTCAAAAGATAAATCCAGCCTGGCAGGTTTATACAGGCCTACAATCCCAGGGTACAGGAGGCTGAGGCAGGAAGATGGTAAATTTTAGGCCAGCCTGGAATATACAGTGAGTCCCTGTGTCAAACAAACCAACAAACAATAAAACCACCCAAGCATCCAGTGACCATATGACTCAGAGTTATAACCTGGGCATTTACCCGAGAAATGGAAGCTCAGGCATACACAAATGTTACAGCAGCTTTCTAGGACAGCCCCAAACTCCAGAAGACATGCAAGTGTGCGCCTCTAGAGAAGTGATTAAACAAACTTCAGTACACATGTGTCAGAGAACATCCCTGAGTACCAACCAAAGAAATATTACTATATGCACAGCTGAGGTGCATCTCCAGAGTGTTCTGCTAAGTGAAATAGCCAGTTTTATGTTACATGATTCTTTCCACATAACATACTTTACTAAAGTATGATGGACAGGGAAAAGGCAAATCTATCTATCTATCTATCTATCTATCTATCTATCTGTCATTGGATCATCTATCTATCTATCATCTATCATCCATCTTTCTATCTATCTGTCTATCTATCTATCTATCATTGGATCATCCATCTGTCTATCTATCATCTATCTATCTCTCTGTCTGTCTATCTATCTATCTATTATCTATCTATCCATCTATCATTGGACCCATTAGAGTTGCCGGTACATCTGAGAACCATCACATAGTCCATGTCATGAGTCTGTGAACTTGCTTCCCACTTTTATTGTTTCAGACTAGAATGCTCCTTCAAAGACAAAACCACAGGACTAGAGCATAGACCAGTAGTTACCACAGAGTAAGGAGAGGCAGTAGGTAATGAAGTGATGATAGCTATAAAGGCAAACATATTAGATCCTGTAGTGACAGAAATATTCTGCATATTAATTAATGCTAACATTCTGCAGTCACAATGTTTGAGTCTGATGGCAGGGTGGAAGGTGAAAGGCACAGAAGCTTTCTCTGTATTATTTCTTACAAATACATTTCAGTTCACAATTATAGCAAAATAAAATCTACTAAAGACAACAAAAACACTTGGCTGCTTGAAATCACACAAAATAGGACCAACTGTTATCTATGATTACTTCATTCCTATTTGGGGAAGAAGAAAGATGAAGGGACCAGAGGAACTCAGTAGGAACTCATAGCAGAGCGGTTACAGCAATGTGGTCACAGAATGGCATCCTGCCATGTACGGGAAGCATTTAACTAGCTTCCACAGAGCACAGATGGGTCAGACTGCGGACCTAGGGACACAGCTCAGTGGCAGAGCACTCAATGTTCTGCTTGTAGCACTGAGTAAAAGACAGAGGAAGATGGCAACAGAGAGAAGAAAAGAGAAATAGATGTTAAATGTATTCAAAATACCAGCAAAATGTGACTTCCCAGTCTGAATCAAAATTCAATGTATCTAGTTTATGCTACCTTTTGAAATCATTTTGCTTTTGAGATTTGTATGATTGTATATTAAGGTTTACCTGCTCTTCTCTGTCTTAATTCTTTTAACATTCAGTTTCCAAGTAACAAAGGCTTTATTCATCCTGAAAAGAAAAGAAATACTTCTTATATTCTTTATTTATAAGAGTTATATGGAACAAGTTTATTAAGAGTTAAGTTAGAAAATTCCCTAGACTATGTTTTGTCTTGCATTACCAAAAAATAAATGCTAAGCCAAACAAATTTTCTCCAAAACCATCAACAAAACATAAAGCAAACAGCAAATGTAAGTGAAAGTCATTAGATTTCTCATAGATGCAGAACTCAGTTGAAGCATCCCAATAAATATTAAAAAATCTGAAATATATTTTTTATACATCAGTTAGTTTGCAATGTGAAACAGAAATGGAAAAATGGAAAGGAGGGATCCAACTAAGGAGAAGAGAGCTCAGTACAGAAGGAAGGATGAGAAGGGAGAAAGCACACTAAGTTGTTTGATGAAGCCTTAAGGAATCTTGTTATTTTACATTACCTAAAATCATAACAATATATTTAAGTGTATGTGTATACATATGCACATATATAAAAATATATGTAGAGAGAGAGAGAGAGAAAGAGAGAGAGAGAGAGAGAGAGGCAGACTATCATGGCTGACAATGCTACCCACAAGAGCCACAAATTACCAAAATCCCAGAATCAATCAAAAGAAATCTCCTTTGGAATGTTTAGGGTATACTAAGTGACTCCCAAATCAATATGGGCTACGGTTGCCCCTTGGCTGCTTCTCAAAGGTGAAGGCAAATCCTACTTGCTGAAGATACTATGCACTTAGGACACAAGACTCATATTTTCTCATTATTCTAGCCTGAAAGTCTTCCTGGTATCCATGCTACCAGAAAATATGATGAAAGTTGCCAAAGGAGAAAATCAAGCAACAGTGTTACTCAACTGTGACACCTATGGACCACAACAATGGCCAGCATGGCAAGATACCTGTAAAACTGGTCCTAATATGTTGGAGGTAACCAACAGCTATCTCATTGGACTTACAGCCCACTCAACAGGAGAGAAACCACTCCTGGTACTAGAATCTAGCCAACTTCCAGAGGCCAGTAAGGTCATGGAGCTTAGAAAGGACTCTAGTACTGCCACTTTGCTAGATCAGCATTAATTCCTAGCTGCATTCGAAATCTTTTCCACATAAAAGTGAAACTCTTACCCCTCATCAAAACAAACAAACAAAAAAACCCACCACCACAACTGGATGCAACACAGAGATCAACAGATTGTAGGGAACCTTTCTCCAATAGATGCATCAACTTCACATCTGTATCTACGACACAGGGGACATCATGGATACACCAACTTCACATCTGTGTCTATGGCTCAGCGGACATCAAGGATACACCAACTTCACATCTGTATCTATAGCTCAGGGGACATCACAGACATACTGACTTCACAACCGCACCTATAGTTCAGGGGACATCATAGATACATCGAGTTCACTTCTACATCCATGGCTCAGAGGACATCACAGATACACCGACTTCACTTCTGCATCTGTGGCTCAGGGGACATCATGGGAGAGGGGGTGGAAAGATCATAAGAGCCAGAATACCAGAAGCTGGTGATGGAGGTGGGTCTTGTATCTTATCTGTTGCTTTCATTGGTTAACTAATAAAGAAAACTGCTTGGCCTGATAGGACAGAAAATTAGGTAGGTGGAGTAGACAGAACAGAATGCTGGGAGAAAGAAGCTGAGTCAGGCAGTCACCATGATTCTCCCACTCCAGACAGACGCAGGTTAAGATCTTTCCTGGTAAGCCAGCTCATGGTACTACACAGAATATTAGAAATGGGTTAGATCAATATGTAAGAGCTAGCCAATAAGAGGCTGGAACTAATGGGCCAAGCAGTGTTTAAAAGAATACAATTTCTGTGTAATTATTTTGGGTATAATGCTAGCCGTGCGGGCGGCCGGGTGCCAGGAATGTAGCCTACCGTTCCTCACAACAAGTTGGCTGTGAAACAGTTTCCCATCAAAATGGCTGAATAAGCAAGATCTGAATAATGCAAATATTGATAAACATGGTGATGTAAAAGAATTCTCCCAAGGTCACTCTCCTGGACAAGGAACTACCTAGCACCCGAGGACTGCAGAGAGATGGAGGATTAGCCTCTCCCAAGGACAAGCCCCCTAATTGGTTCTCTGATTAAAAGTGGTCATCTCTGAACCACTTATACACAAACAGAGTGCTCTCCGAGGCTATATTTGGACACTTGTACAGTAAAATGTAACATTAAGAACCAGGGAAGAGGAGAGTTCATTTGAGGAGGATATGAAGGGGTCATAGGGAATGGACTTGGGAGGTGATGCAGAGAGAAAAGGGATATAATTATATTTTAACTAAAATATGTAAAATAAACATAAAAAGTCAAAATTAAAATTTCAACGATAATTTGTATAAAACCTTGTATAATGCTAACTAAAATAAAAAATAGTTATGAAAAACAGATGTGCGTATAACTTAAAAATCTCAGAGGACCTACACAAGGACGACCTGAGAAGTCTACCTGGTGACTGCTCATTGTCCATAATTTCCATATGGGAAACAGATCTAATACCTTTCTGCAAGTCTCCTCAACTTCTCCATTTTAGGCCTTGGTGGGATCTGCTCAGTGCCACGTTGGCAGCCCTCCCTCAGCAGAGAGTGACTCCAAATCAGTCTGTTGTAAGAGACTTCTGTTTGAAATTATCCTGCTTCCTTTTACTTAGCTATTACCTCTGCTTGCCCCACCATATGTAAGTTCTATGGAGCAGACACACACATATCTTTTCCTGTGTGGATTTTTTGCAGAGTCCCTGACCCCTCTGTTCTCATCTTTTCCACGTTCATATCAATTAAAGAGGAAGTAGCAAATGTTGCTCAATAAGCGACACCATCTCTGTGATGAAGCCTTGTACACCTGTCTAAAGTCCCTCAGATCCTTAGTGAAGCTATCACATGAAATTTAACAAGTTAAAGTATTATTCGACTTGAACTGGAGCAGAGCTCTGTGTAAGAGGATATGCCTAGTAATGAGAGGGTTACAGTTGATGTGTATATTTAAATATGTTTAACTTATACATTTAATATGTTACATATTTCTATGTCTGTGAAAAAATATATGTATTTGTAATATATAATTTGTATATGTTCTTTGTCTTTTACAAATAACAGCAGACAACAAGAAAAAGCAAATATTAAAGATAAAGAAAATTATAAACTGGGTGTTGTACAAACATTAAAAGAGCAACAGTGTAGTCCCTGACCCCCTGGCTCCTACAATCCTTTCCCCCATCTTCTTCAGGATTCCCCAAACTCTGCCTAATGTTTGGCTGTGGCTCTGCCATCTGCTTCCATCAGTTGCTGGATGGAGCCTCTCTGATGACAATGGGTTAGGTACCAGTCTGGTCACAGAAGATGATCAAGTTCAGGCTATGTATCCACTATTGTTAGGAACCTTAGCTGGGGTCATCTTGTAGATTCCTGGGGGATTCCCTTGTGCCAGGTTTTTACCTGACCCTGAAATGTCCCCATTTCCAGTAGTCTCTTTAAGTACTCTCCCCTCCATGTTCCTCCCTTCTGACCTGATCATTCCTGTTCCCATCCCCACCTGCTCTCAGTTCACTCGCAGAACGTCTTCTACTTCCCCTTCCCAGGGAGATCTGTGCACCCCCACCCCCACCCCGTATCTTCCTTATTCCTAGTCTCTCTGGGTCTGTGGATTATAGCATAGTTTTAGGAGCCAGAGGAGTCAAGGGCTCCACAAAAAAAAAAAAAAAAAAAAAAAAAAAAAAACCTCACAGAATCAACTAACCTGGGCTCAGAGGGGCTCACAGAGACTGAACTCACAACCAGGGGGCATACATGGGACTGACCCAGGTCCTCTGCATATATGTGACAGTTGTGCAGCTTGGTCTTCTTGTGGGATTCCTAACAGTGGGAGCAGGGGCTGTCTCTGACTCTTTTGTTGCCTTGTGGGACCATATTCCTCATACTGAGTTGCTTTGCACAGCCTTAATTCGGGGGAGGGGGGGGGGTCCTTAGTTTTACTGCAACTTGACACGCCATGTTTTGCTGATTACCATGTGAGGCCTGCTCTTTTCTGAATATGAAATGGAGGAGGAGTAGATGGGGGAAAGAAGGTGGAGGGACTGGGAGGAGAGGAGGGAGGGCAAAAAAAACCAAACAAACAAATTTAATAGAATAATAAAAAGAGCAACAGTGTCCATCCTATTGCACTGAGATGAGTGTGAAGCATCTTACAGCTTGGCAAAAATTTCAAGATAGAATTCAGTAACCTGCCCCAACCAGGGCCTCCACTCTTCTCTGTTTTCCTGTGTAATATTTTCAATCCCCTGCATCTTACACATTCATGTTTACTGTTCCTCATACACCTTAAATCAGAATTATAGAGGCTAATTTATTTGTTCAATATAGTTTTCCAGCATCTAGAATAACTCTTTGCTTTTCTCAGATGCTCAATAGGTATTCATCAATACAAAAGGCATGAAGAAAAAGTAAACCCAATAGAGACTATTCAATTATGGTTGACAATAAAGCATCAGTTTTTGTAACATTTATCCAGAAAAAGACTGAAAAAATTGTCCTTAAATGGTTGAAGTTCCTTAGTCTAAAACACATGTGTGGAACACCCCATCCTGCTCCACATCCCATGAGCGGCAGCATTCTAGTAGGAGCAGATGCCATGGGCAACAGCTCTAACAACACAATCAAACTACCAAGCGTTTGTTTCCTTTGCATCCATCTTACCGGAAGTTGTAAAATATCTTAAATTGCTGCAGTAGATAGAAGTAATGTCTTTCTGAAAGCCAGTCCAGGGTAGAGAGGAGTTCCACGTCTTCCTTGCCGGTGCCTGTTTTAGTGACCTAGAATCACAAAGCATGAGCTGTGGCATCACTTCTATTTTCAAGACACCAAAACTGTATTCACCTTCTACCCCCAGTCTTCATCCACTTCATCTGCCCCCGAATCTGGCTTCCGTGTGCACACTGCCACTACACTGGACACTTGTTCCTGCTTGCTCTCTTGTGTTCCTACAGAATGAACAGGGAAAACTTCTTCTCTATCCAGAGCTATTTTTACTAATAACTTGATAAGCTTTCTGTCTCACAATTTTCATATTTGGTATCAATTGTTCTGGCATGGCTGAGGATGCGGCAATTGTTCTGGCATGGCTGAAGATGCCTGCCTTGCATAGGGAAGTCCTAGGCTTGTGGTCCTGCTCAAGCATACTGTTGAGTTGATTTCAGTTGGATCATTGGGAGAGCAGAAGAAAACAGCTGGTTATTAAACCAATGACCAAACTTTGTTAATCATAACTTTTGGCATCATGATGCTAAGTATATATTGAAAAGATTTCTATATCTTGTCCTGAAGTTTCTAACAAATATGTCAATACATGATTTCTCCATTGAGCCAGAGAGATTTCTCCACTGGCAAAGTGCTTGTCACACAAGCATGAAGACCTGAGTTCAACACCAGAACCCACGTAAAATAATTGGATGTGGTGATGTGCTCCTGTGATCTGGCCCTGGGGAGCTGGAGAGAGGTGGCTCCCTGGGGCTTGCTGGTCAGCCAGGCTACTTACTTGGTGAGCACCAGGCCAATGGGAGACTGTATCCCCTATCGAAAAACACAAGGTGGATGGCTCCTGAAGGGCACCCAAGCTTCACACACACACACACACACACACACACACACACACACACACACACACACAAACACACACACTCGAAATAGGTATTATTCCTATTACGCCAACAAATGCCTGTTTTCTAGTTTTCACTTTTAAAAAGCTATGTAAAATATTAATAAAACATTTAAGAGGTGAAAAACTCCTGCCAGCTGAATCCTTAAATTTGTACGAAAAGGAAGAAAACTTTTATTATTAAATAATTTTCTTCCAAGCTGTTTCTTAAACATTAACTTTTTGACTGAATTTCTCTAAACCACAAAGAGATAAATCATATTTTTCATATGTGCCTAAAATTAGATAAATGAATATAACCATGTGTATATACATGCATATATAAATGAATTTCATGCCCTTCAGGAGACATAGACCATCTTTTTTTTTAAAGCAGCATTAGGCAGGAGAAACCTCCTTTTGAATTGTTGGTCAGAGGAGACCAAGAGACTCTCAAAAAATATAGGCTCTCATGGTTGCCTTGGTCTCCTCCCAAAGGTTGGAGATATGTCCCTATTGCTGAATCCAAGATTCAGGATTTGAGCTGCATCTGACCTGAAAGTCTCCTCCCTGAGGACTAGCTTCCACAGTGCCAGAAGGTGCTCTGCACGCTGTTAAAGGAGAAAGCAATCAATAGTCCTACTGGGCTGGGGCACCTATGAACCCCAACAATGCACCACCTGGTATGATATCCCTCAAGGTGAAGTAGTGTCGTTCATATGATGGTGACAACCAACAGCTCTCTAGTTAGACTTAGGGCCTATTTAACAGGAGAGAAAACATACCTGTACTGGAAACCTAGCCAAATACCTATGACTAGTGAGGCCATGGATCTTAGAACAGGGGCTATGGTAGCCACTTGATTAGATCACACATTTCCCCGCTGCATTCTAAATATTTATCCTGTACCCATAGGCAGGTGTAGCTCTCCTCGCACCTCCAGGAAGCGTCTCTCTGCTTCAGATAGAGAACACTGCAGAAAACCACAGCCGGTCAGAATGCAGGGACCAAGCGACTGGGGGTGCCCCATGCCAATGGATGCATCTACAGCACAACTCCTGCACCAAACCCAAGGCTCACTGTAGAGCCAGAAGACCAGAAAGTCTGCTCAGAGAAGAGTATGGGTCCTATGGATGACAGGGAAGCTACAGCCATGATACTGCAAAAATAGGGCTGCCTAAACAGGACCTGAACAAGGACGTCACCAATGGGATGGGGGAATACTCATCAGGCCTCACCCTAGAAAAAGACCTCTAGGCACCTAACGAGCACTGAGGGAGGGAGAGTTAAAGGATACTATGGAAAACAAGGTCATGAGTTTGAGAGGGAAGGGAAAACATGGGAGGGTTGAAGAGATGGAATATGGGAAGGATCGGACAGAGAGGTGGAAGGGGGAAAAGATATAATTATATTGTAATCATAAATAAGTAAAAATGCCACATTAAAAATAAGTCCTAAGTTGGTTGTTTTTATTCTCCTCTCTTATTATTATTATTATTTTGGCAGGGTCTCATTATATGTGCCGCAGGTTATAACACCCCTGCTTCTTCTGCCCCCCCCCCCCCCCCACTGCTGGGATAGCAAGTGTACTTGACTGAACTGGGTATGATTTTCTGGGGTAATTCATAAAGCTGAGCATATGTATTTTACATTACCTTTGAGACAAATGAAGCGGTGACCATCCAAAATACTTTGCAATTTTTAGCTCTGTGGGCAGAGACTACTTGAAGGTCATACTCATTGAAGATGCCTCTTGTGTTTTCCATAGGAAGGCAGTATACAAATTCACCATCATCTCTCAAAGGTTCCTCACAAGAAGAAGACACTTACTTTGACTAAAGTAATAATTAAATGACTAAACAGGCCCAGTGGGAAGAATGTGAAGACAGAATCAAAATAGGATAGTACTAGTGAGGAAAATTAGCCTCAAACCATGCCTAATTCAAGTTCAATAAGACCAATCTCATAAACCATCCTCCTTAAACATGGTACAGTGACAAGACATTTGGAGATATTATCCACACACTTGCTATGAACTCGATGATGACCCTGAACAAATGTGCCACATTCCATTCTGGATACAGCTAGCTTCTCATCTGCACCAGTCAGAATGGGGTCAGTACTCTACCGGCTATGGCGAGCACTGGTAGTGGGTAGCACACAGCAAGCGGTGAGTGCTTTACATAACTATCTGAGCAATGATGCCTCTGACAACTTTAAAGAGACCGAGGCTCGATGCTTTTAAACATAACTGAGCACATGCAGAAAGCTCATAAACTCATGAAGTAACAAAAGAGGAGCTGAAAGCCACGTACGCCTTTAATTCACACTTGGTGCTCCTACCGTAAGTGCCCAAGTTCCTGTCTCATTGATTTGGAAGTATTGAGAAGCTGAGAAAGTATTGAGCGTCCACTGAGAAAATGTAAAGTATAAATTATAAAGCTGTTTTCTTTTAGTTTTGAAATATGCACTTTTATCAATAAAAAAATTTAAGTCATACAAAAAATTTCAGAGTAGTTTTATTAAAAGAATAATTTCATCATTGGTGATGGTCTCAAAAGCTACTGAATCAAGTGATTAAACTGTTCCAGTTACTGTGGTTTTAGACTTTGGATTCAGTTTTATAGTGTTTCCACTGGTAGCTGTTTGCTTTCTTGTTTGGGCTCCAATTATAACCTGTACTAATAAACCTTTTTTTTTTTAAAAAAAAAAAACACCTAAATCCCCAAATCAGAGGAAATGAGCTAACTTGAGTGACTGGCAGAGCCACAAGCTTCATTGTAGCTTTTTGGCCAATTATGTCATTTTTGTTCTAATTCTATTTTCTAAGGTTATTAGAAACTTAGTGTAAATAGAGTTATCAAGTCTTTTTTTATACAAATCAAGCACAATTCACTGAAAGATCCAAAGCACTCATGCACAGCTAGGGTTTCGTTTTGCACTTTTAAACACTTGGACCACAATCTACCTGATGCTATAGCGTGTTCCTCTTCCATTTGACCTTCACAGCTCTCTAGAGTCATTCAGAGAGGGTAGAAACTTGCTCAAGACGAGCTAGTGGGTGACCGAGATTCAAAAGTGCACGAAATCGATTTATGAGTGAACTCCCAGTCACCTTATGCTGACTACGAACGATGATTTTTAGTCCTCAGAGTAACCATCTAGAGCAGGAATTGGCAAACCCTGGCCTGGGCCAGGTATCTGCTTTTATAAAATAAAGGTTTATGGACAAACAGTCATTTGTTGTGTTCTGTGCACCAACAGTCTGTGCACAGGGGCAGGATGAGTGCTTCCTTGCAACAGAGCTCATATGACCTACAGAGACTAAAATACTTCTTATACGACCCCAGGATTTGGAGCAGTGATTCTTAACTATATAGCGGTTTACTGAGAAAACAGGCAATTAGCCCCACATTCACAGTTTCTTATTCCGTTGGTCTAGTGTGAAGGTGAGAACATGAATTTCTGCTAAGTTTCTTAGATAAGTTCCTCTTACTTCTTTTTTTAAACTCACAGAGTGACATACACAGAGTTTGAGGCAGATGGGGCACTTCCTGTGAACTCACTTAGAAGAGGAAGAGATGGGGAACAGACAAGAGATGTACTATAGACAAAACTGTCACGCTTATCTCTATTTAAGTAGGGGAAATAAATTATGCTGAGATGCTTTTATATTTACCAACAATTATTGTAATGCATTATTAATTAGCTTTGATGTGATATCTACAATGAGTTAATAAAGGTCAAGATAGATTCAAAATTTAATTTCTAATAGTTGAAATTGCATGGGATAGGATCTCACCTTCAGACTGCACTTCTGAAGGGCAATCTTAGGACGGTATTTCAAACTATGTGGAAATACTGGAGTTTTCCATCGGAGCTTTTCTCTTAGCCTAATAATATGTTTTATGGCATCAAGCTCTTCTGGTTCTGGTGGGAAAAGGTTTTTAAAGTTTAATGGAAGTGCAAGTATAGGTATCATTTAGTAATAATGTATACTACTACAAATATCTCATTTAGTGATAATGTATACTACTACAAATATCTCATTTAGTGATAATGTATACTACTACAAATATCTCATTTAGTGATAATGTAGACTACTACAAATATCTCATTTAGTGATAATGTAGACTACTACAAATATCTCATTTAGTGATAATGTAGACTACTACAAATATCTCATTTAGTAATAATGTAGACTACTACAAATATCTCATTTAGTAATAATGTAGACTACTACAAATATCTCATTTAGTAATAATGTAGACTACTACAAATATCTCATTTAGTAATAATGTAGACTACTACAAATATCTCATTTAGTAATAATGTAGACCACTACAAATATCTCATTTAGTAATAATGTAGACTACTACAAATATCTCTATAAGTAGCAAAGTGAAATGGTAAGTCAGAGAAGTGAACACTGCGCAACTAAAGAAGAATCTGTAGCATTAAACTAAGCTTTAACAGAGGCTCAGAAGGATACCACACCTTGCACATACATGTGCACATGCACCTGTTCGCACACTTGTGCACCCCCACATGAGCACGCACATACATGTACCACAAACACGTAACAAGGAAGGTGGAAATAACTACATAGAAACATGAGACTCTCCTAGTGGTCTATGGGAGAGGTCTTTAGGAATAAGGTATATAGTGTCCGAACTTACTTAGCTCTTATTTTGCTTGAAAAGCTTTCCAACACTGAATTGTATTTGTAGATAAGAAGATCATAAGTAAACTATGAATAGTGTCAAGCAAGAAAGGCAGGTGTCACAAAGGGTTTAACTACATGATCAGAGATTATAAACCACAGGAAATACTAGAACAAGGCCAGTCAAAGCCTTTCTTAATTGAGGCATAGGAGGCTCAGAAGCAAAGCATCGGAGGAAGTGATGTGGGTTGGAGGCATTCTTCCTCAGGACAGACACTTCCCAAACTCCTTGCAAACCATATTTCTTGATCTCTTTGCTGGCAGTTAATAATTTCATGCTTCTTGACACAATCTACGTGTTTTGTTTTTGCTTCTATTTTCCATGCTATGCAGACTACCCCTTAATCTTCATTTTATAGTTTTTTAGTTTTTAAATTAAGTTTCAAAGTGTACATATTTATAGAGAACAACATGATAGTTCAGTACATATATGTGACATATCAGACATGCCATTTTCATAACCATTCATCACCAGTCCCCTCTCCTAAAACACTTCTCAGCGTTGGGAACCTTCAAACTCCTCTGTAGCTCTTTAGAAAATGTCAAGTCTTGTGACTCACACTCCCTCCATTTCCCTCCTCTGTGCTGTTCTTTACCACGACTGGATGTTAACTTCCACCAGTTTTTCCAATGCTTTGCTTATTTAAATCTCCCTGCCGACTAGTGATGCGTGGCAGTCTCCACACACTGGTTTACATGTTATACCTTTTGCTGTGACTATTCAGATAGCTGCCCTTTTGTTACCTGGCAGATGGCCCTTGAGGTTTTGTGTTTTGAAAGCACACAAGACGTGCCAGCAATCCGAAAGTGTTATTCTGTATCTCAGGCCTACCAGAAGTCATGCATGGCATCTGAACAAAATAATCTCTTTCCTAAGAATCACATGGAACTTGCGCTATTTTATAAAACAGCACGAGAATTGAGATGAAAACTCTTCAATGTTTCCTCAAAGCCAGGAAAAGAGACTAGAATAAATCTGCTAGCGAGATAAACTCTGACACAATGCACTAACCACCCAGAAGAAGACAGTCGATCAGTGGATGCTGAATACTGATGCGGCTTTTCTGCTGAGATACTGAGAACCCTGGATGTTCCCGTGTGAATAGGGGTTCTGATGATAAACCCACCTCTGGGTCGTGGTGTTCCAGTAAGAAACAGGAAAGTTTCCTTTATACAATTCATGATATTAAAATAGTGATTTCAAATATAAAGAAAGTATCGAAACATTCATGGGGGGAAACGTTTCAACTATTTGGGCACTCAATCTTTGTATCAGACAAAGATATAAATCTCAGATCTAATCAGTGCAGACCTGTAATCCCAGAGTTTGAGGCAGGAGGATCTTGATTTCAAAGCCAGGCTGAACTACATAGTGAGTCTTTGTTTAAGAAAACTAAAGGCTGCCAACACAGAGAGGCGGGAGAGCACTTGCCTAGCCTGTGCACGGCCCTGCATCAACACCCGCAAGCCCCCACCCACACATACACAACATACAAGTTTCACTAGAAACATAAAACAAAGCTATAACTTGTCTTGCATGGATTGCCAAAACTAAAATCTGAGAATATCTTCAGTAAGAACATAATCATTGACTACATTGTCAATTTTAATGCTATTGTAAATTTCAAAAATAATTTAAAAATTGGCAGTTTTTAAAGGTACCAAACATGCAATACTCAGCCAGACATTTTCTCTTCCATAAAGTCAGTGTCCAACATAAGGACAGAAACCACGAGAAAGCTTGCCAGCGTGTGTGGCTTCCTTCAAACCGGCGCAAGTCTGCAGCATACCTGTCCTGTCATATGATCCAAGCCGGGCTTTCTCCCCTTTTGTCTTAGTACAAGTTTGTTCCTTTTTGACTTTTGATTTCCTTTTCTTGGGGACAATTAATTCTGAAGCCACTGCATGTTGTTGATCAAACCTTTCTTCAAGGTAATCTGCGAGGAAAACCATTATGAACCGAGTATCTACTGTGAACTCTAATAATACCACAGTAACTTCACAGACCGCACAGTATACCCAGCTATTATATGAGGAGCACATGCTGAGCCAAGGGACCTGGGTTCACAGGAATGCGGGTCACTATTCTGCGTTTTCCTTTGTAAGTTGCATGCCTACCTTTTCTTCTGGACCTTTGAAACAAGGAGGTAAAGCATGGGAGGGCTATAAATAGCCACTGGCCTCGCCTAGAGGGGGCCCTTAGTTAACCAGGCTGCCATTAGGCCTCTTGGGAAAGAGGTTAATGACAGTGGTGACTTTTCTAATGACCTCATCCTTTCCATCTTCCACACTCCACCTATTGTCACAGTGAGAAGCACAGACACTTCTAAGTTGGCTAGCATCACTAAAGCCTTGGCTAAGGTGAATGTTGGTTGCTCTGTTTGATCATTTTATTAATAGAGCACATCTTTGGAGTAGGAACGGATGTTCACGGGAGATAAATCTTTTAATTAACTTTCACTTGGGACTGAGCACAGAATATATTTAAATATGAATGCAGAAGAGTAAAAAGGGCACTGCTCATATTTCTATGATTTCCTTAACTGGTGGGTTACATGTAGAAGACTGGGAAAATTACTGACAATAGGGCTCTTCAGAAGCAATTTCATTTGTTCTCTCATATTTAACAAAAACATATGCAGCAAAAGCTCTGAGCTACAATATAGTCCGGGGCAAAATACCGTAACTACAAGCAAAACAGAAGAGTGCAGATGAGATCAGTCCGTGTCCTCCTGTGCCATGCAGCCCTTGGGCCCACTTCGGGGGACTTGTCTGCTCGGAGGAGACTCAGAAGTTCACCCTTTCCAAGTAATCAAATGTTGAGAGGTGGTGAGGTTTTGAATTTTGGAGGAGGATGAGGAGCTAAGGAGGAGGAACCACGAGACAGTAGACACTTCACTTGACTGATGGACAAGGGAAGGCTGTTTTTCCGGGATGGTCAGAGGAGACAGAGTTGTACGCTGCAGCTACTCCCTAAGGACGCTCTCTCACACGGCAGCTGCTTATAGTCTTATGCTCCATATCGCCCAGATTGGAAAGTGGGTTTGTTTTCCTTATCACTCCCCACTCACCACTTCCAAAACAATTTGTACCCTTTAAGAATAAAAATAAAATCCTACTCCTTTGAAGTTCCTGGATTTTGCTACATCATACACTCCAACGTTTCACTGACTCCAATTGCTTGGTCACTCAGCTAATTTGTAGCTTTGGCCCCACAGAAGGCCACCTTCTCCATTTCAGTGTTCCTAAGCCGAGACCTGTTTGATGCTCTGTCCTTCTGTTACATCTCAGATCTCCCCAAATTTCTACAACTCAACCAATAAAATTCTACTCCTTTGACGTTCCTGGATTTTGCTACATCATACACTCCAATGTTTCACTGACTCCAATTGCTTGGTCACTCAGCTAATTTGTAGCTTTGGCTCCACAGAAGGCTGCCTTCTCCATTTCAGTGTTCCTAAGCCGAGACCTGTTTGATGCTATGTTCTTCTGTTACATCCCAGATCTCCCCAAATTTCTACAACTCAACCACTAACATTTTGGTGTGGGAGGTCCTTTTGTCTATGTGTTGCTTTTATTGGTTAATGAATAAAGAAAACTGACTTGGCCTATAGCATGGGAGAAGGAAGGCAGAGTGAGGGAGAAACCATGGAGCCGCTGGAGACAGATGATGGGAATTTTACCCGGTAAGCTACAGACTCATGGCAATACACAGATTAATAGAAATGGCTTAAATTAAGATGTAAGAGTTAGCCAATAAGAAGCTAGAACTAATGAGCCAAGCAGTGATTTAAATAATAAAGTTTCTGTGTGATTATTTCGGGGTTAAGTGGCCAGGAACAAATTAGTGGCCTCCATACAACAGCATTTAAGCAACTATAGGTCACATCTACAACACAAAAGGAATGGTGTTTGTGTGTTTATTTTACAGATTACCTGCAAGAACTACAATTCAACAGTATGTAGTTGCTCCATGTGTGACTATTGTGCATTATACTGTGTGCCATCATCTGCTCTCTGTTCTTTCACCTTGCTCTGCACCGTCCCCAACACGGCTACCCGTCCCCCCCCCTCACCAGTATGTCCACTCCTTTGTCCACACCCTTACAGTCCATCACCCTCAGTTTCCACCTTTCTCTTCAGCCATGTCAGCTAATGTCCCTACACGTACCCTTGCCAATGTCGTAAACTGTCTCGTCACATCGCCACATCTCAGTGCTGTTAGGTAAAGCTTCTTGGCAAAGCGGGTTTGGCAAGGGCAGACACTCATTGTAATGAACCTTACATACACGGGCCCTGAACACAAGCCATGGATTCTATTGCTGCTTCGTCAACTTGTTCTTCCTCTTGCCAGCTAATTTTTCTCCATGCTCCTCAAACTTGGAAACAGACTCCATCTTCCAGCCTCCATTTTTCCATTCTACCTTTGCTTCTTGGCTAACGAGAGTGCTGGGTTTTGGATAGAAATCTCTTTACTTCACTGCTAACACACAAACAAAGCACTGGCACCTGCCCATGGTTCCCTCCGATTTAGTAAAGGAGGCACCTGGCTTTCCTGCCACCCGAGAGAGTCCTTTCCATCTTTTATTCACACTTCTTCCTTAACCTCTGCACTCCTGCTATCTTCTTCTGCATGGACCTCCACACTGCATCCATTCTCGGACCACACCCCAGTCATCGCTAACGCCGTCTCTTCAAAGACGAACTTCTCGAGACCTGCAAATGGCCACTGCCTTATTTCTTCACCTATCACCCAGTCTTTGTCTCCTGCACTCTTGGAAATCCCACCAAAATGGCACTCAAGTGACCACACTTTTGAGGTCATTTCGCTCAATGGACATTTTCCTGTCCTGGTTTTACTAGTGTGTGAATGACGATCCATGCTTTATTCATTTTTTTTTTCTAGAAAATGACCCGAGAGAGGCTCACATTTTGTACCACTGGCTGCACTAGGACTCGCCAAATAGATCTGGTTGGCCTTAAACTTGCGGCAGCCATACTGCCTCTGCCTCCCGAGTGCCACGATTACAGGGGTCACTACCATTCCTAACTCTAATTCTTTCTTATACAATTACTTCCCACTGATTTCTATGACATCACATACCTATTTCTTTATCACCCTGGTCATCCTCAAGCTGACCAATCCCATATCCTTTGCATCTGACCTTTTTCTAACTCATAATTGCTAGACATTTTCCCTAAGGAATCTCCCTGTGGCCATGGCTTAAACTTCCAGTTTTAGGGTTATCCAAGTACATCATCTCAGCCCTGATACTTCAGAGCTCCTGGATCACATTCAGTGGTCTCCTCGACATCTTTGGGATGAACCAAAGGTATTCTCAACTTTATATGTCCAAAATTCAAACTCACAGCCTCTTCCCCAGACCCCACAGATCCTGTGTGAGGTTTCCTATTTTAGTATATGGTACCTCCTAGTCATCACATTCAAAAAGCTAGAAGCACTGATTTCCACAGTGGTTGCACAAGATTGCATTCCCACCAGCAATGGATGAGGGTACCCCTTCCTCCACAGCCTCTCCAGCAAAGGCTATCATTGGTGTTTTTGACTTTAGCCATTCTGACAGGTGTAAGATGATATCTCAAAGTTGTTTTGATTTGCATTTCCCTGATTGCTAAGGAGGTTGAGCATGACCTTAAGTGTCTTTTGGCCATTTGAACTTCCTCTGCTGAGAATTCTCTGTTCAGTTCAGTGCCCCATTTCTTAATTGGGTTAATTAGCATTTTAAAGTTTAGTTTCTTGAGTTCTCTATATATTTTGGAGATCAGACCTTTGTCTGTCGCGGGGTTAGTGAAGATCTTCTCCCAGTCAGTAGGTTGCCTTTTTGTCTTAGTGACAGAGTCCTTTGCTTTACAGAAGCTTCTCAGTTGTAGTAGGTCCCATTTATTCAATGTTGCCCTTAATGTCTGTGTTGCTGGGCTTATACCTAGGAAGCGATTGCCTGTGCCCATATGTTGTAGGGTACTTCCCACTTTCTCTTCTATCAAGTTCAGTGTGTTCGGGCTGATATTGAGGTCTTTAATCCATTTGCAGTTCCAGGGCAGCTGATGCCCTCTTGTGGCCTCCACAAGCACCTGCACTCAGGTGCACATACACAAACATACACATAATTTAAAAACTAAATAAACCCTTAAAGGCAAACTAAATTAACTCAGTGAGTATTAAATTCAATGTGAAGTTGAAAAGAAAAGGGGTGCTAGGGTAGAAATTGAAATAGAGGAAATGGGGAATGGATTGGATCCAAAGGCTTCCTATGCAGGTATAAATCTTAAATAAAAGATTGAATTAGCTCACAGGATATCCCAGGGAAAATCTGTGTTATAAATAAACAATATTCTCAACACTCTTTGATAAATAAAAAAAAAAGCTAGAAGCCTCAGAACCATTTTCAACACCTCCTGTTCTCTCTGATCCTCCAGCATGACTGACAAGTCTACCTTCAGAATATTTAGAGTCTGCTAACTGGTCTCCCTCAGTCAATTCTTGTTCTTTAATCTGTAGTCTTTTCAAGATGGTAAATAGGATCACATTAACTCCTTGCTTAACAGCTGGAGATGGTGGGCCACACCTTTAATCCCACCACTTGGAAGGCGGAGGCAGGTGGGTTTGATTTGAGGCCATCCTGATATACAACAGCAAGGTCCAGACTAGCCAAAGTTACAAAGTGAGACTTAGGTCTTAGAAAACAGGATCGGGGTGGGAGGGTACCCTGGAGAGATGGCTCAGCAGTAGAGGGGCCTAAGTTTGATTCCCAGCACCCTCATCTAGTGGCTCCCAACTGTCTGTAACTCCAGCTCATGGGTATTCCGTCTCTTCTGTGGACTCCTGCACTCACTCACATACACGTGCCCACACCCAGACCCATATACATATTTAAAAGTAAAAACATCCAAAATAAAACTCCCCAGACCAACAATCTAAAAACTTTCTATTGTTCTTATCTTCCAGGCTCACAAACTCTTTAGCCTGGATGCCATGTCCTCAGTTTCCAACTCTTGAATTCCTAAGCAGCTCACATTTCTGTCCTCTTTTTCCTGAGGAAAATAGCAAAAAGATCAAATTCAAACAATCTGCCCAAAGAATGCCTGGAATTTACGCTCTCAGATCCCTTCAGGAAACCAACCCACTGATCTTTAGGCAGAAGTGACAATTGGAGGAGTGACCTAAGAGTTGATTGGAGCTGTCTAGGTGACAAGGACAACAATGGTCATTGCAAGGTCTAATTTTAGACAGGAAAGGGACTCTGACTTTGACACACTGGAAATGGAATAGAAAGCAGAGAAAACTCTCATCTAAGAAACTGAAGAAGGCACCAGGGAGAAACAGTTCAGTTGGTGAAGTGCTTGCTGCGTATGGTGGTTTGAAAGAAAATAGCCTCAAAGGGAGTGACACCATTAAAAGGTGTGGCTATGTTGGAGTAGGTGTGGCCTTGTTGGAGGAAGTGTGTCACTGTGGGGGTGGGCTCTGAGATCTCCTCTGCTCAAGCTACTCCCAGTGTTACAGACCACTTCCTGATCAAGATGTAGCTCCTTTTCTACTCTAAGCTCCTTCTCCAGTACCATATCTGTCTGCACGCTTCCATGTCCCACCATGATGATAATAGACTGAACCTCTGGACTGTAAGCCACCACAATGAATGCTTTCCTTTGTAAGAGTTTCTGTGGTCATGGTGTCTCTTCACAGCAATAGGAACCCTAACTAAGACACAGCTGAAGCATGGAGACCTGAGCTCACTCTCCAGAACCCATGAAAGAAGAATAGTGTGTAATTATACTTGCAATCCTTTGAGGAAGAGGAGACAGGAGGATGCCTAAGGCTAGGTGGCCACTCAGCCAAGCCTACTTGTCCAGTGCCAAGCCTACTTGTCCAGTGCCAAGTCAGTGAGAATGACCTTGTCTCAAACAGTAGGGTAGATAGTATCTGAGAAGTGACAGCTAATGTTGTCTTTTGGTCTTTTCACGTATCTGTTCTCATGCGCACATACCCTCACATAGCAGTGCACATGCACACACTGGTGCATATGCACACACACACACACACACACACACACACACACACACTGGTGCATATGCACACACACAGTCATACATACATACACAGGTGCATATGCACACACACAGTCATACATACATAACAGGTACACATGCACACACAGTCATATATACATACACAGGTACATATGCACACACACAGTCATACATACATACACAGGTACATATGCACACACACACATACAAGCACATACTGGTGCATATGCACACACACAATCAAGAGAAATGAAAGGAAGTTACCAAAATTCTACAGAATGGGGAAATGAAACAGAGGTTATTCTATTTTTCAATGATTTCTGAGGATTTAGCCATGAGGACAAGTCTTCTCTGTAGAGTAGAGGAGGACAGAGCAGGTGAGGAGTAAAGTTCAGGGATGGAGTGAGGCAGAAAATCTGGATCACTCTGTCAAGAATACTGATCCTGTAGTGGTGACTCCTGGAAGGAACACGGGTCACAAGATATTCCTGTTTGGGGTTCTGTTTTTTAAAGAAGGCCATGCACACAGCACTCCATGGGCTTAGTGGTTTAGTGGACACAACAAAGAGGAACTCGACAAGGCAGCTATCTGGGGTTATCAACGGGGGTCGTGGAAGAGCTATACAGAGAGAACTCGGTAGTTAAAAACTGACACACTGGATGTGGTAGAATTTGAACAAAGACATTTGAAGACTTAAAACAGGCGGTATGCAGAGCAATGGGGACACTAGGAGTTATGGGTCAGTGAGAGAAAGAGGAAGACGGGGAGGGATGAAACAGCCAGAAAGCAAAGAAGACTTAAGAAAATACTGATGTATTTTAAGGTCTTATAGTTTGTGGTGATCACAATTAAAGAGATTAGTGATGTCAGGCATTCTTGGCGGTGGGGGGCATGCCTGTTATTTTATCATTATCTGTAACAGTACTTAAATTAGGATGCTTTTAAGAAGGCTCTCACATCAGGAGGCAGCTCCACTTGCTGTGCCTTGCGGAATTAGTTCAACATCAAAGCTCCAATTTTGAAAGAAAGCCCTACAGTTAAAGAACATATAAATGCCATGCCTGGATAGTAATCCTGGTAGCTCCTCTCTACTCCCTCTGATTTCAAGGAGATGGAGGACGTTTGCGTCACTGCGGCCTCCGCTGGTTGGTTCTCTGATGATGT